GAGCACAAGCGGAAATCACAAACAAACAACGTTTTGTACTACTTCCTGAATCAAGCTTGGCTGATATCGTCACACGAGGTGGCACATAAACGGCCGTTCACCGGATTCCAATCAACAATGGCTGTCTTGGAGCTTAGAATGATACCTACACCAGTTTGACCCGTGAGTGCTGCATCGGCGTCTCCGGATGCGTGCAACCAATAGCGAGAGGACAATCCGGGTGCAGTTAATTCAACAACCCCATTAGGGTCATTGATCTTAGTTTCGGAGACACAACACACATCAATACCCAATGTGTCCAAGGTGCGTACGAGTGCAGCCTGTTGGACCATTTGTCTTAGAGTGCGAATGTTGAACGTCGCCATGGAAAGGGGACAGCGTGACTTTACAAGGGACTGTTGCCGATAGGCGTACGGTGGGTGTCGCGAGAAGGTGATTGCAGATTGTTCTACTCCCGTGGCACTTGGTTGTTGTCAATTAAACTGGGAATTATAGAAGGTTAGTAATGGGGGTCGGGATGGGAGTAAGAGAAACAGGTGAAAGAAAGAAGGGAGGCACCAGCAGTAGCATGTTTTCGTTTATCCGCCCTGCTGTATGCAGCAGATAAGGTGACCCTTAATAATCTGCGCGACGGCCGATGCAGGATGAAGTTTATGCTTGAAGAAAATGTCATGGTTGTATGTAGGCTGGAATACTGCCAAGGCGCCCAGATTTAGACAGGACGATTAGGGTCCTCAACCAAAGTCTTTGGCTCAAAAGCCTGTCCGCAAGGCAGCGGGGAGGTGGCAATGATTTAGTTTTAATGAAATGGACGCCATCCCATTTAAAACTCTCAACCTGGAGGACTAGGAGACTGAGTTTGTCTGACCTCTCACCATTGACCAACCTAGTAGGAGTATCTCTCAATAGGCCCGCACGTACCACCCAGAATAGCTCAATGGGTCAAGGAAGCACGCAAACCGTCGCAACACGTTAAGGCCCAGTCTCGTTGCGACGGGCAAATTGGAGCGAACTAGCTCAGCAACGTTATAAAAAGGTGGCTGTTTTGTTTACTTTATTTTATATTGCAGCCAAAGTTCAAGTTAGCATAGTAATCAAACTCGAGGCGTGTTCTAAACATCCGAAGGACAGATACATCAGTCCATTGGGGAGTGACGGGTGAGTGAGCCAATCTGCAACACCCGGACAGATACTGTGAGCTCATTGGCAATACGTCGCGCACCAAGCAGAAGTCATGTATTAAAAATTACGCACCTAATCGTCAGCCCTCGGTAGCTAAGTGGTAGAGCAGCGGACCGGAAATTCGTGGGACCGGGGTTCGATTCCCCGTCGAGGCACATTATTGTGTGTGAATTTTAATCGTGACTTCTACTTTCTACGAACTTTACACTACTCACAAACATCCACAATAAATTAGTCGTACCTATTTCAGCGTTTGGACCTATAATATGAACCGTTGGCTGAAAGCTGGAACCCTGCTAAATGTGTCGTATAAATATTCATCTTCGAATTCAGATGAAGTGATTGTTGGGCCAAGTAGTGTGCCTTCCGAGAGTGCAGAAACTGAAACGTTCGATGTACGTGTACTACTTGATGCGATGCAACATTTACCACCATCATCATACTACACGTTAGCTGGAGGTGGGGAACAACTCAGCTACTGTGCCGCAATACATAGAAAAAGGAGAAAAAAAAGCAGTTGGTGAAAGCTGGCTGAGCTACCGGTAACGGATGGGCATCGTTCCGGTAAGCTGCCAGCCGGCTGCTGTGCACCAAAAAAAGTTACTATGCAAAATTATATAAGGCTAAATAATGAGATCGTGGTTGGAGGGGGAGGCTAAGAGGGATGGGGTGGGACAAAGAAACTCAGCACGAACGCCACTGAGGTCGACAGCTAGCCATGTCAGCAAGTGTGTCCAACCAAACGTGTTCATCGTCTCTCGGACCCCAACCAGGGAGCCGAGACGCTCCAACCGAGGCCAGCTCAGAAGTGAGGGCCTTCATTCCTCTCGACCAAGTCATCGCTTGGCCACCCCTCCTCTTTTTCCATCCACACCCCCAAGGCGCAAACAACACACGTCGCGGGAGTCGGTGGGCTGGCATGCGTAACACGTGGCCCAGCCATCGGAGCCTGATGCGTGAAATAACGGTGCTGAGCGGTTCAGTTCCTTTTCCCGTGCCGCAAACGAGGCGCCGAACACGCTCGTTGCTCACGCGGTGTTCCCACCAGATGTGAGCTAAATTACGAAGGCACCGGTGGTCGAACGTAACTAGCCTCTTCAGGTCCGCTGCTTTAAGGGGCCAGGTTTCACAACCGTACAGTAGGGTAGAACGTACCGCTGCATTGTAAACTCTACCCTTCAGGGCAAGAGTGATGTCGCGCCGCCGCCATAAGTGGCGAAGGTTAGCAAAAGCGCCCCGAGCTTTTGCTATACGATTCGTGATCTCATCTTCAATCCCACGGGCGCTGATACAACTTCCCAGGCAGTTGAATTTTTGAACGACTTCTAGCTGATCCCCACCAAGGGTAAGCGTAGGGGGCGGTCCAGACCAATCTTGGAGGAACGCTTTGCACTTCGAGGGTGCGAAGCAAAGCCCGAAGTGACGGACAGCTAGTGCTAATCTGTCCAGCGCCGCTTGACACGTTTGTGAACCGTCGCAGATTAGGGCAATATTATCAGTATACTCTAAGTCAAGAAGTCGTTCTCTTGGGAGCAGATCCACACCTTCTAAGTCGTGTCCTGTGAACGCGATTTCTATGACTTCGTCAACAGCGAAGTTGAAGAGAAAAGGTGACAGCGGGCATCCTTGTCTCACACCGCTGGAGATATTAAAGGGTGGCGACAACTTGCCGTAAGCCCTCACTCTGCCCGAGCTACGCGCATGTAATGCTGGGATAATATTCACATATTCCTCAGGTACACCTTTCCTGAGTAGACAGTCCCAAAGTGCATGTCTTTCTACCGAGTCGAATGCACCTTTGATATCGAGGAACACGACAACGGTGGGCCGCCAAGATATGTGACAGTGCTCCAACAACTGACGCAAGGTGAAGATGTGGTCAATGCAGCCACGACCTCGACGAAATCCTGCTTGCTCTTCACGAATCTGGCTTTCACGAGTGCCAGTCAGTCGGTGAAGGATGACAGAGGCAAGCAATTTGGAGGCGATGGATATCAGACTGATTCCTCTATGGCTGCCGCATTCCGATCGTGTGCCTCCTTTGTAAATTGGGACTATGACGGAGCGGCTCCAGTCAGTTGGGACAGTTTTCTGCTCCCATAGTTTGACTAGTAACTCGTGTAAAGTATCCACAAGAGCAGGTTCCCCGAATTTGAAGAGGGCTGGAGGAAGGTCATCAGGTCCCGCGGCTTTGTTCAACTTCAACAGTCCGATCTCACGTTCGACTTCTGAGCGAGAGGGTGGATCCAAAGGGACAGCCCAAGGAGCAGGGCGATCAGTGGCCGGGGAGAAATCTAACAATTCCGACCGATTAGATTGCTTTTCAAAGTGCTCAGCCCAACGCTCTAAGCGTTTTGATAAGTTGTGGATAGGCTGTCCACTCTCGTCACGTATAGTTTCACTAACACCCGGTCTCCTGCTTCCCGTTTCCCGTATCAGACGGAATAACTTACGATGGTTACCAAGGGCAGCGGCCATTTCCATCTCTGATGCACGATGAGACCACCAGGATTCGCGGTCTATCTTCAGGCTAGCACGAAGTTTTGCCCGGAGCACTTTGCGATGCAACATTTACCTGTGCCAAGCGGAGGCTCTCTAAATATACAACGACATTAAGCATTTTTCGGATTTATGGAGTTGAGCAATTTCCCACAGTGCATCATGTGTAACAAACAAAATCTATAGATCAAAATGCCAGTGGCCAAAGTTAGCCATTCATGCGACTATTGAGCCTTGCGGCTAGGCTGAAAACGCTTCGTGAAGTACGTAACATTACTAGTGCGTATCAATAGGATGCATCGTCACACACTGGAGAAGCAACCCCGTTTGATGATGAAACGTCTATAACCCAACTATAAAGTTCAGCGAACGCATGAGCACCTTGTGGGAATTGAGTTGAGTTGATTAATTGTAACCCGTCCACAGTCGGCCTGCCATTATCTGTCATGACATGACAGCAAGTTAGGAATAAATTGAAGGCAGAGATTGGTCAAATCGGCGCATGCTGGCAACCAGTGGGGAGGCTGAGGACCGGTTAAATTCATCATTAGATCTTACCCACACTGCTTAGTCGTGATTTTGAAGTCGGTTTTTTCTCAGCAATAGCTTTTCACTCGATAACCACAGCTCTATAAGTGCGACAATATAAGATGGAATAGAACATGAGTATAGATTTGTGTTACTCGCATGCGTTACTCTTGTTTCCACTGCAACAACGGTAGCAAGCGTTGTCAATGAAGACGTCGCACCGTGGTGTCTGCAGCGTACTTTTCACTCTGAACTGAAGTGGTCCGAGAAGCGACTCGGCGTCAGTGGTAAAATTGACCAAGGCTCACTTCAATGTGAATCGTAGCCAATATTGTGATGGCGTGTCGCAATCCATGCACACGAGTACTTCGAAACAACACACCAATCAATGGTGATAATAACAATTTTGGCAACGCTTGTCAAGGCAATCAGAGACTCACCGCACTGCGGTGAGCGGGTCGTAATTGACAAACTGCGTAAACTAAATAGTAACTAACGAACAGTGTGGTGAAACGAGAGTATTCAAGAGATTCTAACGTGAATGCGGTTGCGGTTGAGGTTAAGAGATGGGGAAGATGAAGGTTGTGCAATGAAAAACTACGATTGTCCTTTAGTGCATCAACAAACCAAGCCGAAAAAGCATGAATTATCTAGTGGGGTATCCTGATCATCAAACATACAAGCCAACCACAAAGTTGGGGTAGGAGATGATAGGGAAGAAATAATATTTTAAGCCTGAATATAATACCGTGAAAACACGAAATAAACGGAAAACCACATCGAATAAAAAGCTAAGCAAAACGGACAGTTACCTTGCAATCTGGAAGGTCCAACCTCGTTAAACCGTACGAATGGTGAAGTGCAAAATCAGTTGTTGTTATTGGAGCCAGTAAGGTGGAACAAAACTTGTTCTTTTCCTTTATATTTTCACCAATGGAGGACAAGCCCATCAAGATATGATAGAGTTTCGTATGATCTTTGGCAGACTCGGGAGCGTGTAGATCAAAAAATAATCTAAGTGACTGCCTGTCGTTGGAAGAAAATTGTCCCATGATTGGGATAGCAGAGTGAGGGCTGCATGATATAAGCACTGAAAGACTCAAGAAGTACGTGAAACAGGCTAAAAGGAAGCTTCTACAGAAGAAATATAAGCACTAACCGATGAGAAACATGGGAGATAAAGCGTTTCGCGTATGGCATGCACTGATTACAATGGGAGTAGAAGTAAATCCGGAGTGCTAAAATGGAAAACGCACAATGGAAAACTGCACACATAACAAACGGTAAAACCCTGTGCTACAAAAGCTAGTCAGCTAGGAATAAGCGATTTATTTAGCGAAGGCAGACGAGCGGAAATTACATCACGTTCGACCCGTAGAATGCGTTCATATACATAATATCTGATTTTCTATGAATAACGAAGTCCTGGGCCGATGAGGTTCTTCTTCTGATTCGGTTAAGCAATATAGGAGGAAAAACTGCAGTGCACAAGAAGTTATGTAAAGCAGCGTAGTTGTGCAAGTGGACGGCCAAGTCTCATCATCGTCATCAATACACGTTGGCCGAGGGTGACAAACACCGCAGCTAATGTGCTGCAATACAGATACTAAAAATTAAGGTATATAAAAGATTCGGAAAGTAAGTAATATAAGGTTAAATATTATATTATGTAATTCAAAGCTGAATTTGGGGAGCACGCTGTGTGGTTGGGCTGCGACTCGCAATCTTTATTGAGACTTCAGTTCCCTTTGAGGTAAACCTCGGTCATTCCGATCTCGAGAGCCGCATCCTGAATGGAAATATTTGGGTGTTGCTCTTCCCAACACTGGTGTGCCAGCGTTGGGAAGAGCAACACGTAAATATCTCCATTATATTATGTATTTCGCAAGAGATCGCAATTGGATGGGGAGTCTAAAGGGAGGAGGGATAGACAAAGAAACACACAACACAAACGCCACTGGGGCCGGCTCTTCGCCATATTAGCAAGTGTGTCCAAGTAAACGTGTTCATCGTCCTCCGGACCCCAGCCAGGCAGTCGAGAAGTAAAAACCGACGCCAACTTCGTAGTGAGGGGATTTCATCCTTCCTGAGAAAATCAGCGCTTGATCACCCCTCCTCTTCATCTATACAGGCCCCGGGCGCGCAACCAATGCACGTCGCGGGAGTCGGTGTGCTAGTATGCGCAACAAGCAGACCAGCCATCGGAGCCAGGTGCATGATGGAATGGTGCTGAGCGCTTCACTGGGTCATTCTGCACCAAATACGCGACGCTGAACACAATCATTGCTCACGCGGTGTTCTCACCAGACATGAGCTAAGCTGCGAAGGCAGCGATGGGCCAGGTTTCACAAGCATATAAGAGGGTTGAACGGAGGGCTGCGACTAAGCCTGGCGCATCCACTGATTGAAACCGTCAAGTTCGTCTTTCATCGGCTATCCGACTCGTCCATCTGTTCACTCTGACTGGAAACTCCCATCACACCCAATGACACAAACGTGAATCAGCCTAACAAGAAACGGTGGACAAGTGTTATAGAAGCGAGATGCGAAGCAACACCAAAAGGGGTTAAGTTGCGTTTGAAGAGATTAGCAGAAAAATTCGAAAGAAGAAATGGCAAAATCACCCTGGACTGCGTAGGAGCCGTGGGGGAAAGTTAAGAAATATGCAGGGTCTGAAACCAAGTGATGGAATGAGGGGCCATCATAATGACAACAGTAACAATAGCAAACACATGACCTGAACCGATACATCACCACTAGACAATCAGAATTACCTATGAAAAGGGAGGTCCACTGTAAAACCAAAAATGATACGAGCAAATCATCATTCTTCACTCTACTGTTGGAGATGAGGAGCAGCTTAGTCATTACGTCGAAATAAAGATGAGTGAATGGTTGTGAAAATAGGTAAAAGCGGAAACAAAAAGCAATGTTGTGCTTTGTTCTTATAAGGCATCAATAAGGAGATTCTGATATTAGTATGACAAAGAAGCTCACAACACGAACACTAATAAAGTCGGCTCCTGGTCATGTCAACAATTGCATCCAACCACCCATGTCCATCGCTTCTGAGACCCCAACCAGGAAGTGGAGGCAATAAGCAGGACCAAATTCAGGTTGTAGGACTAGTCAATACTAGTCCGAGACGATGCGCGGAATTAAGCGCGGATATCAGAAGGCAATTGGAGTCGGACACAGCGGACTGTATTCGATGGGCTACAACAATAAGCGGACGGATGAAGCGAGGCAAGAGCGTACACGTGAGCGCGGGGACTTACAAGGCAGTTGTGTGTCGAGCCGGTTGTAAGATTAAAACAAGAAGGAGTAATGTACAATCGGTCAACAAGTAAATTGTACACGAAAGATAAGAGTTATCTTTTTGGGCGCTACAGAGCTCCCCCCCTAGAAGGCTGAACATAGAAAGCCTTCGATATCAAAAAGGAATGTTAAAACGAGGTTCGTAAGGCGAAATCGTGCCGAGTAAAAATGGGCGTGCGTTCGTGTAAATGGGGGTTCATCAGAAGTCGGAGTCCGCTGTGCCGTTTATGATTCGTTATTTATTGAATGCAGGGCAGGGTGCATTTCGGCGAGCCGTTGGAGCGGGCTTGTCGGACTACAAAAAAACTGGCTATTCCAGAAAAAGGCCGACAGGACCTCAACCTCCGCTGCTGCCAAACGGTGCGCTTGGGAGTGGTCTCTCCCCCCGCCGCACCCCACCCCGCGCCAAAGCGACCCTCGTCCCACGAAGAAAACGACCACGGTCCCACGGAGAAGCGACCCTCGTCTTGCGGAGAAAGCGATCCTCGTCCCGCGGAGAAGCGACCCTCGTCTCGCGGAGAAGCGATCCTCGTCCCGCGAAGAATCGATCCTCGTCCCGCGGAGAAGCGATCCTCGTCCCGCGGAGAAGCGATCCTCGTCCCGCGGAGAAACGACCAGTGTTCGCGTCAGGGTCCTCGAGAACCGTCCTCGTATGGGCCAGTCGATCGAAGGGGAGGGTTGGGGCATGTAAAGACGAGAAAGTAGAAAAACACGCGCAGAAAACGCCAAAAAGAACAAACGAATGAGCTGCGTGATCAAATATTTTTTGGTTTTTGAATATTTTTTTCGAAAAAGGTTTTTCGGGGTTTTTTGATATTTTTGTTTGTTTTCAAAACGTTAATCGACCAAAAACGAGGCAAATATATACAATATCTACAAAGTTAAAAGTATTTACACTGTACATAGTCGGAGAAGCGGACGGGCTTACGCACCTCCCGACCACGGCGATTGGTCGTGGGAGGCGGCGGGCTAGATTCGGGAGAGGTTGGGACGGCTTGCAGACCGAGATCGTGGTCTGGTTGAACTGGACTAGGATGATGTAAGTTGGTGCGATGAGTTGTGACGTCGCACGAAGCACTACTAGACGAAGTAGGCGAGGTGCCCTCTTCCATAAAAGCGGGTTTCAGACGGTCGATGGTGACGACTTCGTGTCGACCACCGCGGTCAATAGTGTACGCCTTACTCGCACGATGCAGCACCTTGAAGGGTCCTATGTACGGCGACTGAAGAGGCTGTCGAACACCGTCTGCGCGAAGAAGGACGTGTGAACATGTAGACAGCTTCTCGGGCACGTACACTGGTGTCTTCTGCGATCGAGGAGCGGGTGGACGTAGCTCACGCATCTGGTGAGCCAATCGGTTAGAGTAACTTCCGTAGTCAAAAGTGGAAGTACATGGGGCTGGTGCTACCAGCTGTCCGGGCAACCGCAGCGTGCAACCGTAGACTAGCTGCGCTGGTGTGGCGTCGAAATCGGTTTTAACCGTGTTTCTTAAGCCTAGAAGAACGAGGGGAAGCGTTTCAGACCATGAAGGATCTGCGTGCGCACGTAGCGCTGCCTTCAACTGGCGGTGAAAACGCTCTACCATGCCGTTAGCGGCCGGATGATACGTCGTCGCCGATGAGCTCTGTAGCGCCCAAAAAGATAACTCTTATCTTTCGTGTACAATTTACTTGTTGACCGATTGTACATTACTCCTTCTTGTTTTAATCTTACAACCGGCTCGACACACAACTGCCTTGTAAGTCCCCGCGCTCACGTGTACGCTCTTGCCTCGCTTCATCCGTCCGCTTATTGTTGTAGCCCATCGAATACAGTCCGCTGTGTCCGACTCCAATTGCCTTCTGATATCCGCGCTTAATTCCGCGCATCGTCTCGGACTAGTATTAACTAGTCCTACAAGGTCAGGTCAGGTTCCAAGGAAGGTAATAGACTCTTGCCTAACGAGCGTCCTGTTTCTTGCGCCGTCAAGCAAGCCAGAACCTCCGGTACTTCGACGTTAGGGTTGTTTCCCTTGCTTCTGCAAAAGAAGTGAAGCAAGAACAGGAGTAACCCCTGTACTTTCTTGGATCATGGAGCACGCGGTTTGACAATTGTCGGTAAACTTACAATAATTTCGGGAAATGATGCAACCAACACTTATCCAGGCTTTTTGGAAGGTTTCCACAGTGGTATTTCCAATAAAGCAGAAGCTTGTTCCAACTATGGATTATAAGATTCGCAAAATTAAGCCCTAATTTCTAGCCTGTACCTATGGCGTTTGAGCTTAAGTCCATGCCCCGCAGGTGGTCAGAAGCAGCTGGTTCAAACAGGTCGGGAGGCCAGATATCACTGAGACACTTCATAATTTGGCACATTTTTATCAGATCGCCTCTCAATTTGCGCCGTTCCGTGGAAAACAACCCTAGGCTCTTAAGGCGTTCATCATATGACTTCCTACGCCGGCCATTAATTATCCTAGTCGTCAATTTTTGGACCTTTGCTATGCAAACAACATCCTTTCAGAGATAAGGTGGGTAAGTCTACACACAATATTCTAAGTGACGTCGTATCACCGGTGTATATAAAAGAAGGAAAACCTCAGGTATAGTGTTACATAACGCTCGCCTGAGACGGAATAGCTCCTGCCACGCTTTGTTGACTGTCTGCTGCACTGTGCTGAGGGTTTAAAGTTACTCGTCACAATGATACCCAGATCACGTGCTTTTTTAACGCACCGGAAAGTCAAGGTACCGTCAGTAGTTTGCCCTGTAACCACTTCCATGCCGCAGGATAATAGTTAATATTTTTGGCAGTAAGAGACAAGTCCCACAAGGACGACCACCTCGCCAAAGTACAGAGGTCTTTCGATAGCGCATTGAGATTGCCTCTGTTTATGAGTTTTACATAGTCCGCAAGGATATAGCAAGGGTTTTCCAGATG